GTTTTGGATTGATCAGCAATTTTCTGCTGTGACTCAGGGCTCAGAATTCAGTCCTTTTAATTTTTAATTTTTATTTTATTTTTCATAACATGCAGTTTCTGTTTTCCAGTCCTCGTTGATCTGGCTGCAGTTTGTTGATTATTTTTTGATTACTTCAGTCACATTGTGACAAAACATTTTCTGTAAATCACAGACTTGTAGTCAGCATTCAGAAACACAAAACTGTAAAGTCATTTTTAAACATGATGTTGCATATTTTTAGAAAACAACAAATTATCCTGATTGGAGGCATCAAAGTACACCGAAAATACTCTTTCAATAACCGGTTTAATTATATTTCAAACTAAAAAAAACTTTTGGAGTCAGCTTGGTTCAAGATGGCCACCACAGCTAAATAACCTCAACCAACACAACAATTGTTGTATTTCAGTCAGTTTGACAAATAATAAGATAAGCTTTAATGCCATATCTGAAAAACATTACCTAAACCTATTGGGCAYAAACAGATGAGAAAGAATATTTGTTGAAAACGTATTAACTGTTGGCATCAACGCTGTCTGTTAGCAAAATAACTCATGAACTATGAGAGGCACGACTGGTAGAAAAGCTCTTCCAGATTATGTAATAAAAGGCCACTGGGACACCTGTCTTCACTATAGCTCACAGATTGAATGTAGTCTCTGCATTATGGAGCCTCCAGCACTGCTGCAGTCCTCCTGAGCAACACTCTGCCACTTTCTGGTGTGACAAGGCCTTGATTGTTTATTAGGCCACGGAAAACATCAACCCACCCACWCAAATATGCCCAGCAGCTCTGCACCCACCCATACGTCTCTCCTCTTACAGACATTTGCTCCGACATGGCTGCACGTGATGCTTCTCCTCTCCTATCAACTTTTCATCTGGTGATTTATGGCTCCCCTCTGGCTGAAGTGCACAGCATTAAACACGACGCAGTGGAGGGACTCACAGAAGGAAGGGAGGAGGAGTCGAGGGGTGGAGATTCCTAGTAGAGAAGAAAAGAGAGGAAAGAAAAGCAGAAAAGCAGTGCAAAATTTGTCTTTTCAAAGGATGCCAGACATGTGTTTACACTTTCTGCCCACTTTCACCATAAATAGTTTCCTCAGCCTTTGGGCATGTGTGCTTTCATGTTAACCTCCATATGAAAATGTGTGTGTGGGACAAAGAAAGTGGGGAAAATGTGGTGAGTCAAAGCAATTCAATTTATTTTTTTAATGAATTTTTATTAGTTAGGATTACTTTTTATCCCCAGTGTTTACATTTTTCTTTTGACTGACACAAAAGCGCACGCTTACACACACACACACACACACACACACACACACACACACATACACGCATACACACACCCACACACACAAAGCTTGACATATGTCATTTATTTTCCGTTTATGAGAGTCTTCTCAGGAAAAAAAGAAAAGAAAAAAAAAGAGAAGTTTCTTAAAATAACCACGAAATCATCTTTAACCATTTGCCTTTTATCTTTGTTTACATGAAACCACTAGTGGTAAGAAAATAATTTCTGGCATTAAATGGAGATGATTCTGGTTGAAGCCCACTTCTGGAAAATTCTGGGAATTTGAAGGAAATCAAAGGCAGGATTATTCTTACATTTTCAGTATAAAGCTTGGATTTAACTTAAACTGTGTTTACGTTTCCCCAATTAATAATGCCTTCAAACCTGAAACATGAGTCATCATTTATACAATCCCATCCATC